GGGGGGTGCTTGAAGCCCCGTCAAAGGATGGATTGGCCGATTTAATTTCTCCGCACGTACCATTTTAATACACGAGAGAATTTTTTCCTCTCCCCATCGTGTCGAGAAATTACACTGTCTTCCGGGATCTCAATGTGAAATCTGCTCGTGCGATTGCTTTGAAGTGATTGAAAAATACGCTCCGCTCGATGGAGAAATCAAATTAAGAGAGGTAAAAGATGGGGAAAAATTCAGGCCTCGAGGGTGAGAATCAACAAGAACAAGTTGCCAAAGAGATAAGGATGAGCATTTCTTTATGCCGTGCTCTTTTTTTCCGCACCCTCCGCCTATTTAGCGAAACATACTTTCTATTATAATAAATGACGACAAACCATCGTTCCCCCCATTGGAACTTTCGATTGTTCTCCCCGTGCGAGATCTTATTTTGCCATCGTCTTGGGGGAAAGTTGAGGATGTAGGGAAAAAAACGAGATGATAGCGAAATGTGGTGAATTTTTGGGTGAAGGTGAAAAAGAGGGTGGAAAGAAGTAATTCCCAAACAGAGATAAATCGCTATCAAAGGAATTCTTCCGTGAATCCCACTCTTCTTTATCCATCACGTGGCGCTGAGAAAAAAGGCAGCATCTATTGAATAATGAAACTCTGTTTACCACGTTACCCAGAATTTTGCGGAAGACATCGCGAGGGTGAGTGGCAGAGGGGGCAAAAAGTGTGTGTGTGAGTGTGTAAAATTTCACCGCATGTGAGAATTTTCCTTATGCCCAGGAAAAAAAAATCCGCGCCACGGGCAAGAAAAAGCGGTCAAAAAACTTCGCCCCAGCGTCGAAGGTGTCGATGTGAAAAATGGTGGGAATGTGAGAAAAGTCGATGGATATTTAAGTTAATTGGCTTGATGGGGCGTCATCCCCACAGCAACCCCTCACTGGGGGTGTGTGGATTGCGACTGATTGTTCTTTTATCAGTTCACACTGCCGACGACAGGCAACAATGCACCCCCGGTGAAATCGAATTCGCCGAGAGTACAAAATCACCCCCAAATTGAATTACCACTCGCACAATCCACCCCGAAGTGCCGATGCCCACGGAGGGGCTTCTCCCACCGCCGAGACGCCACCCGATAGCCGGCATCATGTGCAAACTAGCTGGTCCACCACACTGACCGCCACCCCCTCGATCGGGGCGAATCACGTCCATTCTCAATCACCCTCGGCCGGGCTGCGTTTGACACCTGTTGACGCGCGCCCCCGGGTGGCCCATCTCTGCCGATGCTTCGCAATTAGTCCCACAGGAATTGCCGCCCGGAATCAATTAATGGGCGACACTTGACCTGTCCTGGAAGGGGTGAGAAAGTGGCCGGAATTTAAAACGCCGCCTCATCACCTCGCCTCACCGCTCTGCACCTTCGTTTTTGGCTCTTTTGTCATTAACTTGAGTCTCGCTCAACTGCCGGTGATCGACTTAATTTCCAATCCGCCTCCTTCGAAGCTTTCTTGCGCCACGGCAATTGCCGCGCCGCGAGACGCGTCTGGCGCGCTGCTCTCCGAAGGGAAATTACTCTCTGTCAGTGAAACTATCCGGCTGCCCTCTTCACGCCCTGCGCCCAGCCGCTTAGAAAAATCGAACAGAAATCTATATAATTACCTGGCACTGTGTGGAATCATCGAAAGCCAATAATTAAAAAGACATCAGCGCGCTGCAGACCAATCAGTCAAAATCAAAATAAAATTATTTGTTCGAATGTTCTTACCGGCATTTTTTTCGCCTTCGCCCCGCCAGCTCTTGTCTTGCCATCGTCGATATTTATCTCCTTTCATTATTTCCCCGCGCTTTGGATGTCTTGAGGTGCGCCCATTGCGTCATGTCTGAGCGACAGTTGAATGTTTTCTGGGATGAATTTCTGCGTTTGGGTGAAAAATCATCACAAGGGATTTCGCAGGGATGTTGGCGCAATAAAAAATCACCCAGCAAATGCGTGTATATTTGTCTCAATTTCCACCGCGAATGCAAGCAAGTTTTGCATTTTGACGAGCTATCGCTCTGATGGGAGGCGTTCCTCAACTTCTTGCACGTTCTTGCAAGAGGGGAATCATTCTGCCCTCGGCCACAAGCGATTTGATTGATTTGGAATATTTTTGCTGCACAGTCTCTAAATGTGCTGAGTTTTTTCTTATGTTGCTGTTCTGCGGCGTTTTTTCTCTGCCTTCTATCATTGGCAATAATTGATGCCATATCCGCAATGACGGTATTTTCTAATAAACAATTCTCACAGTGATTGATGAACACCTCGAATTGGAATAGAAAATCAATCAGTGGAATTGCAACGCCCAATAGTTGGCTTTTTGTGACCTCTCTTTGTATCGAGAGATGATGTATAATTCATTACATTCGAGCACGCAAAGCTCTATTGTCTATTCGATCTCGCCAGCGACACTTCGACGACCAATTCCGTCATCTCTGTGGCGTTCAATTTCCAGCATCCCGCGTGTTTGTGCAGAAATTTCAATAAAGAGCATTTCAATATCACTCCACCTCTGCAATTAGTGTCCTTTGAGTCGTTCATTTGGCGAAACCTGAAACGCACGCTTGCAGCCACTCGAGTTCGCGCAGTCCAACATCTCGCGACTCTCAGAAGGAAACTGAAGAACCGCGCGTCTAAAAATTGCCGCGTTGTTGTCTCTAATGAACTGTGAAGGAGTCACTTGTGCCTCAATCGGATTATCGATTGAATTGTGCAAAAAGGGGAAAAGTGTATGGAAAAGTGATTTATTCGCGCGCGCGATGCCGGAGTGTAAATTCCGCAAAAGGGAGGAGAAGAAAAGGAAAGGAGACTTTCTGCAATCAAGGCACACACACACATTGTGATTTATTCATCCATTTAAGATGCGTCCCCTTCATCAGGCAGCCCATACACCCAATATTTCAAGATCAGCGCCGATTTAGCCTCCGTGAGGAGGTGGAATGTGTCATGAGCCACCAAAGTCCAGTCAATGCGATCGAAATTAAATAACATTCCATTGAACTCTCGCGCAGCTCTCTCGGTAAATATGATATGACAGACTGGAAATTAATTTCTGGATTGTGTCCGTAATAAATAATGGCCATCCAAAAGACTCACGATGCGGATCAAACAGACACTTTCGCGCGTTAAGTCCTCGAAGCGTTGAATACAATGGACAGCATTGAAGTGATCAATTTCTCCTATGTGATTTTTGAAGGAGTGTTCAATAAATTCCGCTCTCAATGGCTCTTTCTTCTGGCCACTTGATTGAGAAGATTTCTGGGAGGCTCTTCAAAGGCCCCAATAGATTGTCGATCTTTTGCTCCGACGCCGCGCTTCTCAGAGCATTTTTGGAGGCAAACAACTAGCAAATTGATCATTTCCTCCCAGCTTCTTTGTGTTCTCATTACAGCGCCCAGATTTGATTGAAACGCTCGCGTTGGGCACGAAAAAGACTCACAAAGTCATGTGCTTCGGTCAGGAATGTCCTTTGACAGGAACAATTAGCATCCCCCAAAAGAGGAACACATCACAGAATTCCACTTGAATTTCTGAAGGCATTCCAATTTGTCGTGTGAGAATTTAAGCATAATCTCAATCTTGGATCGGTTGGAAAATCAATGCTGCCGAAGAGCAAGAAAATTACCATCAAATTAAGTGACGCATCAGAAATCTACTCACCTCTCGAAGGTGACAATATTCAGAGAATTCAACCGTGAAAGAATTTCCAAGCAATGCCACAATGTGAATGTATTCACGTCAGAAATCATTAGTCGATGATTGCAATCAATTTACAAAATACACATAAATTTCCCGTCATGCTTCATTTGCTGAACCACTTTAGACATCGATGGAATCAATTCGATTTGTAAAGGTTTGTTTGTTGATTGTGGAGCTTGTTTTTATTTTGCACTAATGCAGAAAATGGACAAGGATGACGAATCAATTGCTTAATTGCTGATGAGGTGAGAAATTCCATAAATAAACCACAGAATTCACAGCTATTCATGTAATCAAAGCGTAATATGTTGAAGGTGTGAAAATATTGGAGAGATATTAGCAAAACTGGGCGCTCTTTTCACTATAGATTTTGCCATCAAAATTCCATAGGAAATGCTTTGGAAATACCTGAAGATCTTAGACAACATCATTGCTCAATTGGGAAATTACCAAAAATTCCATCTCGCTGGCAGGCGCGTGTAATTTGATAAGTGAAGTCAATCAGTGACTCCAAACAATGACCATCAATTATTGACTACTGTTTGGCTCGCATTGTGCCTCCCGTTGATTCCTATCGTGGCTCTTTTGTCCGGGACTTCTGACCACGAACTCTCGAGAGTCATCGACGCGATCCCGCGGGATTCAATCAATGGTGCAGCGAAGAGAGCCGCGCGCGATGGCACAAAATCGATTTGAATTGTGGAAAATACTGAAAGTCATCATTGTAAACATTTACCGCAGTGTCGGATATTTTCACGCTGAATTCTCCCCAGTCAATTGTGGATCGTCAAGTGGCTCGTCACTCCTCCTGTCCTCCTCGCGCGCCGTTTAATCCCCATTGAACTGCGGGCCTTAAATCAATTTATTTATTAGTATCGACATTGTGGAAAAAAATTGCCCCCGTGATGTTTCTCTTCTGCCACTCTTTCGGCTGCTTCGCTCACCCAAGCGACTATCATCAGCTCCCATCATCCATCAGAGTGGCCAGGCATTGTAGTGGCTTCGAGATAATTACTGAATCAAATTTCAATTCTTCCCTATCTCGCTACTGTGCGGTGTTCAACACAATCCCAATAATTCCAACATCCAAATTATCCGATTGTTTGATTTCTGCCGCTCCTCCGAGATCAATTGCGAGGTCATTCCGCGAGCTAGCCATCCTTCCTGAATTGCAAACTGCAACATTCTCATCGCGAGATGCACTCAAAGTCCGAAGCACACCGCGTGGATTCACCCAAGTGACCTCAAAAGCATTTCACTGCTCGCCAGACACAAAGACCGAACCACTCGGTGCGCCTCTGAATCAGTCACTTTTTATTATTTGACAATTCAGATATTATTTCTGAAGAGGAAGACGATGACAGGTCTGTGATTATTTTTTTTATTCCTTCCTCATGCCTCTCTTCCCCAGCCAAACTGCCCATCATTTGCCCACAAAAGAAGAGTCTCTGGCTTTTTTACACCACACAACAATCGTACAATCACTTCTCTGAGTGCGCCAGCGAAAGAAATCAAATAAACAACTAAATAAGTTTAATCGAAAAGTTAAATTATTCTCCATGTCTGAGAATTGAGAATGTCTTTTGGGAACTTGGCATTGTTGTGTGCTGGAAAAAGAAGGTGGAAGGGGATATATTTTTCGTTCAATCCTCCTCCTGAATGGCTTGAAGGCATTTCAATCATCACCCAAGTATCAGCCTCTGCTGAATGATTTGTTCTTGCAGAAAAAGGAAAAGTTGATTGTCATCTCCAGTTGCTTCTTCCGACAACCCTCAGAATCAATCATGTTCATGTCTTACAGTGCTATAATTGATCTTAAACAGTACACACGACGAGAGGTTGTTCTACGACGCCACGCTTTTCAGATCGATTGATTCGACTTTGGAGTGATCTTGAGTCGAGAGAGCCGCATCGTTTGTTCCCATGCTCTGCGATGCGTCCGATTCGTGGGATTTCTTCCAGATCAGGCGTCGAACAAAGGGAGCCAGCAAGTTGGGCTTCAGCTGCGACGGCTTGTTGGCTCCGATGATGAAGGAGACGATCAGGGACACGATGATGGTGAGAACGCATCCCAGAAGAACGTACCACAGATAGGAAATGTGATAGATCAAGAAGCCTTGATCCTCCCTGAAAAACAAAGAACTTCAGTCGTCAATTCTAGGGCGAACGAAAGCCATAAGAATTACTCACGGCGGTATCGGTGGTATTTCCTCAGTAACATTGACAGCAAGCATGCTCATGGCTTCTCCGGGAACGAAGGTGTAGGTGCAGCCATTAGTCGCTACTGGTTTCGTGGGGAACGTGAGTTCTCCTGAGGCGATAGCAACTTGAGCGTTTAAGCAAATCCACGCCATTATCACCAGACTCGTGACAGCTCCTACTAAGACTCCCGTTCCTTCCACCCAAGGAATCATGACACCAATGGTGAACACCCCCAACAGAGGTCCGTTGGTTATCGAACCTAAACTCATGGACAATTGAAGAACTTGCCCGAGTCTCTCCACAACAAAGACCAAACAAACGCAAAGCGTCCCCAAAACAACCACAACTCCTCGCATGATGTAGGCTGTCTTTCTCTCGGACAGCTGCTCTTTGGAGAAGGCTCTGAAGAAGTCCTCCAGAAAGACCGCAGACATAGAATTGAGTCCGGTGGAAAGGGAACTCAGGGCCGCACTGAAGACTCCGGCCACGAAGAGTCCGGGCAGTCCGGGAAAGTCTCCAAGGATGTCCATAACCAGCAGAGGTAGAAGTTGGTCCTTAGCCTTAGCCAGCTTGGTGGTCAAGGGATCGCAGTCGTGGTAAGTGGCGTAGATCAGGAGTCCGCAGTAGCAGCAAAACACCACGAGACATGACACTCCGATTGTGAAGATCCACAGCGATTTCCTGGCCGCGGAGAGCGACGGAAGGGAGAGATATCGCTGAATCATATTCTGACTGATGGCATTGCTCTTCAGCCAGTACGTCATTCCTCCCAAAACCACCGAGAAGAAGGTGTTTCTGGTCCGAGGATCGAGCGTGAAGCTGCAAGAAAGAAGCATTCAATTGTAGGCCAGAGTTTGCTTGTTCTGAATCCTTACTCAGGTCCTTCGATTCGTCCACTCTCAACCGCCCTTTGCCAGAGAACTTCGAAACCCCCGATATTTCGAGTGCCCTTGATAATCACCAGAATGATTGCGCCAAACATGAGAAAAGTTTGAATAACGTCCGTCCACACGACGGCTTTCAGTCCACCCTGAAATGACATCATTCAGATTTTAGCCAAGGACAATTTGATAAGATTCTGGTCTATTTTTACTCACGACACAAGTGTAGAAGATACACACAATGCAGACCAGTGGCGTGATGAGGTGCACATTTATTCCAGTAACTACGGAAATAGAGAAGTTAATTGGGGAGAATGTTTAAAATTAGAACGACTAACCTTGGTTGAAAGCCAAAGCCGGAACGTAGATGACAATTGGAAGCCATGCCATGGTTCCTAGGATGAACATAACTGATCCCAGCAAGCGGATTCGCTTGTCAAAACGCATCTCGAGGTACTGCGAAGGGAAGGAAGCTTTAAGAAATATCGAGGGAGTTTCGGAGTGTGAAGAGTCTTAAGTTACTTCATATGTGGAGGTAAGTTTGAGGTCATGAAACACTGGCAAGAAAATGTAGGTCATAATCACTGCCACACAGTAAACTCCGATGAGAATGTACATGTATTGCACGCCGAAGATGTAGATCTCCGTTGGAGTGCCGAGAAGGGTGATTCCTGAGATGTATGTGGCGATCAGGGACATTGCAATGGGGAAGATGCGCATCTTTCGCCCCCCGACGAGGTAGTTGTCCGCCTCCTCCACACCCTTCTTGGGCTTCTTCTTCACGAAGCCGAAATACACGCCAATCATGGCGCAGCTGACCAGCATGCAGCCGAAGACCAGGTAATCCGGCCATCCGAACCTCTGCAGGCTGATCTTGACCTCATCGACGCCAACAACTCCCTTCAACTGCATGTTTTCCCCTGCGATTTTCGCACTTTGTCACTTCTTACAGTCTCAAGCTATTCTCTGTTCTAACACGCGCCGAAGTATCGATTCAGCACGAGATTCATATCGCTCTCTCTCTGCACTTTTTCCCGTCCCAGCTCAGCTCTGTGCACTTTTTTGCTCACCCGCGACGATCGATGCGAGAAGACTGATAAGACGACACCACAGCCATGTCACATGTATCCCTCATAGTCAATCTGTGTAAAGTTGGGATTGGACCATTAACAAGAAAATTGGTCCCATTATCGTTGATTCCGCCAAGTGTGTTTGTGTTCCTCAAACCTCACGAATCTGCTCAACAGCACGTAGCATTTCGCGTTGATTCTGTCGCCTTTGCTGGGCCACGGAGACAATCGAGGGGAAGTATTTGTTGCAAAAATCCAAGATGCAGTTGAGGTTTTATCGGAGAAAGTTGCAAAATTGCCACTTACGTCCTGACAATCTTCTTCCTATTTGACATTTCTATGTCTTGTCACGTGGATGTGGAAGTATTCTTTGTCTTGGAAGCGCATTGTTCACCATTTGCAATCCCCTGGACTTTATTTTCGACTGAGAAAGACTCTATGGCGACTTATTTGCCCCCTGAATGTGGAATTTCGCAGAAACGGATAAAGCTCGCGTTCTCTCACTCAATTTCCCCCAAATTAACCCAGTGACGACTGTCAATGATGAGCGATGGTGAGAATTATGCAATTGGCGGTGATTCGGTAGCAAGAAGCACTATCATCCGCCTCGCTAATGTCTTCTATTTTTCGCCCAAACAGCCGACAATGTGGCGAAATATCAATTATCGGCACGCGAATGTTCACCTCGAGCATTTTCCTCAGAAAATTTTACCGACTGTGGCGAGCAAAAAGCCAATTTGGATGATTCTTTTTGCCCACTCGACTGTGTGGCTCTTTCTTGTCTTGGGAGCGCAATTGGCGTAATTGAAATGAATCTGCCTTTGAATTGAGAGGCCTCTTCGCGCTCAAGTCGCAGTTTTACGCGCAGTCCAAGATGTGTCACCCAATAGAGAAATTCTTTCAGGTTTTCATTGAATAATTGCGTGTCATGTGATTGTATTGTCGCCTCCCTGGAGGTTGCTTTGTGCAATTGATTGAGATATTGCGTACTTTTCTTATTTCTAAAACCACACGCGCGCTCGCGGAGAAAGAATCTGGAGAAGATCAACAAGTTAATGTGCTGAAATGTGTCAAGAGACACGCCAAATGGGGACAAATATCGGAGAGCTTCATATCCTCTCTAGAGTCGTTCCAACTCAATGATTGTGGAATAGTTATTCTGAAGAATGGGAGGGGAATATTAAATGAGAGGCCATTTGTGTAACTTTTGCATAAAAATTAATTAAATAATAATTTTGGAAGTCGCGTCGTTTTCGTGCGCTACAAATTTCATCATAATCAACATGAGGAGAATAATGGGTTCATCGTGTTGTAAGATGATATATAGTATTACTTTGGCCCGGGAAATAAAGACCAACACAGAGGGAGAGAGAGAGAAATTGAACAAGAAAGAGATCACAAAAATCTGTTTATTTGCACCTGACTGGCCTTTTTGTGTGCACATTTCCCACAATAGAAAAAAGGCCACAGAAGTGACCAACACAATACAAATATTAAAAATAAAAGCAATATTTTCACAGCAGACAAAAATATGTGTTCTCTTACATGGAAATTAACTGTCGAAGAAATAGGAACAGACAGCAAGAAAGCAACTCATGAGTTATTAATAATGAAGCATTTTTATAAGGAACACAGAGAAGAAATGAAATTAACACAAAATTGTATTGTTACCGAAAATTATCATAAATTTTTCTGGCTTTCGGCTTTTTTTTCAAGCATCTTTTCTTACTTAGTAGACAAGTAAGTTTAAGTGCAGTGCTTTCGGTTGACTAATGCTCAGGCATTGGCTCATTGTTTGATATGTCCAAACTCGTCATACGTTAATTGTTGGAATAAAGAAACATAATTTCTGTTACTAACTTGGACTCTTTCGCAATTATCTCATATAATAATCTCTTAATTGAATTTCTCTGTGTCGCAGAGGAGGTGGAAATGGTGGAAAAACAGATTAGTTTTGCATAGAATGTCAAAGACACACTTTCTTGACAGAATTGCCATTAATTTGTCCTGGAGGTTATTCATATCAAGAATTTAGGCAAAATCCACGGCTGATATATGTGAAAGAGTGTCTCTTTTTCTGGCACTCTTTGCTAGAAGTGTGGAAGATGAAAGGAGGGAATAAAGCACCGGAAAGAAAGACGTCGAATAAATTTAAAAATGACAAAATAAATCAAGAAATTTATTTACGATCTCACACAACACTCAATCGGGTCTTTCTTAAGCGTCTCTCAAGACTTCGGAGGCACTATTAGGAGTTATTCGATGGAAATTGATCACTATCGGAGTTAAACAATGATCACTGCGGTTGGTCTGCGGTGATTTCCCTGGAGGACTCTCAATCCTGCTGCGTGACACCTGCAATGAGGCATGACTGCGCATGCAAAGTGTCCTGATTGACTACAAATGACTGTCTCGGCGCTGACTTCTTCCCATGGAAGCCACGCACTTGGCGGGGCCTTGAAATTCAACACCCCCATTAAAGCAATTCACCACCATTAATCACTGATCGTCTTGGGCAATTTTTGCACATGCTAAATTGGAAATATCATATGCGCGAGAAGCGAGTGAAGCCATTAAGCAATAATAATCTGCTCGGGAGGAAATGAATGCTAAAATGTGTCTCTTCAATGTATTTCTGGGAATGGCCATAAATTACCATGAGAGTCGCTCTCAATTTTTTCTTATCACCCAGCCTGACTCGAAGGTGGTGCAATTTTTCAATTCGATCCAGAGCGAGTTTCGGTGTACGCGAGCAATTCATCTGCATTTGGAGCAAGCATTCTTGCAATGTGGCTTGATGGATTCTGGCTGTAATCACACCGCCAGAGATTTCCTCCCAAGAGTCATGGCGCATAATCCTCCGGCGCACATGTGGAGGGAAAATTTAAATTAAAATTGAGATTAGCGCGGAAAAAGACGGAGATTTTGCCACACACTCGGCAATCCCATTTAGATGCCTTTGCGTGAATGGATGAGAGAAAGGAAAAAGGCTCTAAATATAGAGAGTCAACTCTTCTAAGTCAACATAAAAAGAGATAAAATTATTTATTCCAGCGATTTGATGATTTATGCCATTGTACGGAGTCTTTTTTAAATGCTTCAAAAATCACACTTTGCGTAGAAGATATTAGCACGAATAAATCTCATGTGAGCTTGCCTTAAATTATATCAAGGCGGCCTTTCGTCTTCGGCGACTCCTCATGTCCATGAGTTATCGCGCCGCCTCGCGAATGCACCTCAGCTTGCATCGCGAGCGAACCTATGACGTTATTAATTAAAATGAAATACTTTTCGGCGCGCAACGGTGGCTGCTGTCAGGACTGGAGAGGAAGCCATCTCGCCACTGTCCCTTCCTCATCTCGCTCGCGCAGCATCCAGCACATCTCCTATTTTCAATTAATATAAATTACACGTAAATTAAATATAGTCGACTTCTTGATTTACGCTCTATAAACAACTTTGTCACTTGATTAATTGGCCACAGTTAATGTTAAAATGTGTATTCATTCTAAGAATTTACACGATATCTCGCACTTTGTCGCAAAGCGCCGTCACCTTTTTTTCGCTGCCTGCCTTCATCCACATTTCTCATTCCTCATCCATTTTTTACCACCTTTTGCCACTTCTTGAATTTCACGCCGAAGCGAGAGAGAGAGTTGGAGGCTGGGTGGAATTTCTGGGGGCTCGTGATCACACGAGTGTGGAAGATATTTCGGATATTGTGGAAAATAAAATATATTTGACTATTTTCTCCGCATATTGCCGCCAGAGGGCGGAAATTTTAACTTCAAAAGCATTTTGAAGTTCCAATTGTATTTCCTCCTAATTTCAGGTGTTCGAATTCGTTTTGTGGCTAATTTTGTCACTTTTCTTGGTATTTAAAATTAAATTTTTAATAAATATCCTGAAAATATTTTAATATAATTCGATTTGTTTAAATATTTTGTCAAAAATCTTCAATTTTTAAATATTTTGCAATTTAACTTGGAAAATAATCATTTTTTATTATTTCAATGCGAAAAATCAATATTTAAACATTTGATTCAGACTATTAAGATTCCTCAAAAATTGTCTCGTGACTTTTCCCTTGAGGAAAACTTCCAAATGTCGGACAATCTTCTGCGACACCCGAGATATTCAAAATAGATCTCCAATGATGCAATAAAAAACTTTATCTCTGGCCAAAATTTGATTTATATGTTTATTTATTTATCCAAAAGACATACAGGTGAGGCGAATATCTTGTCAAAATACACATGTTCTGGTGGTGCGAGAGCGCAAGGAGTTTGTGTGCCTTTTGTGCGCCAAGAGCGACAATGGCGGTGAAAAACGCAAAATATTCGGTGGACAGGAGCATATTCGGAGTGGGTCGCAAGATGAATTATTATTCATGGAAAAAGGGTGGCGAAATTATGAATTTATACGGAATTATATTCAGTTTTTGGTCATTAATATAAATATATTTATTATACATAATATTGTGCACGAGTGACAGGATCGCCCCGGTTTTGCCCACAAGGGAGACGCTTGACCGGTCACTTTGGTGGGCTCCGTAATTTTGACTGTAAATATTCTTCATGCTGTATCGCTCTCTTTCTCATTCTTCACCAAACTGACCGCCAGAGTCGGTTCTCTTTCTCGCTTTTTCGGGGCCCGAGTGCGGGGGAGGAATTACTTAATTAAACAGGCAAAAACCTTAGTGCCAATATAAAACGTGATCCGTATTACACCATATTAGTCCTTTTTGAATACATTAAAAGCGAGAATGATACACGGAGAGCGACCACCATCCATGGGGGAATAAATGCTGAGGCTATAGCAAACCCCCATCATGGCCAAACAACCCCACGCCACCAATTTCCGAGGCATCTCTCATGGAAAAACGAACTGGGCCGTTGTACAGCATTGTACCATTATCCGTATAACACATCTACTTATCCACATCTACAATTGGGGTGGTTTGGGCCAAGAGTTGAAAGAGTCCAGTTTGAAATCCTTTGATTAATTAATTCTACACCC